AGATCAACTTCTTCTTCGTCATGAGAGATGCCAGTGAAACATGCATGACTATATGAAATGGATGGAAATACAGGGAAATACACTTTTTTTAGGTGGGTACAGGATGTCGATAACAAATAACTTGTTGTTACAAGTCTGTCTTCCCTAACTGCACATAAAATGTATAGCACTGGTTCTGCTGATGAAGGCTTGTGCTTAAATCTCGGTATTTCTCAGCTGCTGCATTTCATTCTGTACAAAGCTTCATCTTTTGTATTAATAAAACCAAGAATCTTCTATAAGGAGTCCATTCTAAGCTTTAGCGGTGGTGATACAACCAGTGGAATATTGCTTTTCAAATTCTTTTAGAGAAAAAGAGATTTAATAGTTGACTTTGCAGTTTTGTGTTATAATTTGACAGTAAAACGTGTACTAGATTTAGCTATTTTTCTTTGTTCTTTTCAGTTGCAGGCGTTTATGTAGAACTGATAAGCAAATTGCTACATGTAATGTAGAATTGTATCATGGAGTACTGTAAGCTTTTTCTAGCATGTGTCTAACAGCTTTTCATGTTAGATAATCATCTATCTTTCTCCTGGCATAAGATATAAACTTGCCTTTTAAAAATACTCCATAGCGGAGCAAAAGTCAGAATGTTTGTCCTTCAGGAGTCTCTTTGCAGACCTGGATAAACATTGCAGAGATGCCTGAGTCATTAGGGATTTGCTCTGCTAGCTAGGCAATTCCACCCCATCACCCTTTCAATGTAAATAACTATCCTTAATTAATGGAAATGCAATATATACTAAGTAATGACAGACCAAGTAAATTAACAAATGCAGGGTAAGATGTTGAAGCTTTGTTGAGGGCATCGGATGAGGATCTTAGTCCTTCATCTCATTAGTTTAGGCCCGTTAAAAACAATATGAAGTATAAACATACAGTTTTTTACGCTGTACAACAGCATTGAAATGAAATACATTTTAGACTTTTGTTAGAAAAAGTAATTGGAAGCATAAATCAAGTCATTTAGGCATGTGAATAGCTGGATTTGGTATGCAGCCCAGAACAGCTGTCTCCTGTACCCAAAGCTACTGACAATCAGAGAAAGGAAGGCCAGACTTTGAAAACCCATTTCTGACAGTGCACAAATAAACAACTGGGGGTGA